CAATGTCCTTTTCAGCCTCACCTACGCAACACTACACACCGTCTCTGAGCGCCTATCATCCGTTGCCTACGCCACAATCAACTGTCGCCATGGCAACTGTAGACAGCCCCGTCAATGCATCGCTTCGTCTCGTGCAATGTGGCTGGGTCTTTTGTGGAGACGCTTGCCAGACGCTGATCACAGTCGGCGTGGGTCGTTGAATGTGTTGCTGCATGGCGGCATTCGCGGTTGGAAGGTCCTTTCGCAGTTGCCAAGGGAGGCGTCATTCTTGAATGATAATCCGAACTGGTGCAGTTTGTCGCATGACAACTGGTCCATCTGTCTCGGGGGCAACGTGTTCAGAGCCGACAATCAGCGGAAGGCACCGAACCAAGAAAAGGTTTTCCGTTTCACGATTGTTGTGCTCACTTGCATTTGGAGTGTAAGTGTGCGGTTGAAAGAGTGTCGAAGAAGATTGGTTTCACCGGAACATTCAATCTCATTCGGTTGCGGTGAAAAGGTGCCGAGATTTCGTGCGTCATCTGACTGACATCATCACCTCAAGGTAGCATCGCCACAAGCAAATTCAATCTGGCGAGTCAAGAAAAGTTGATTCGATCAGCCGTAACTAAGCAACCATCTTTAAACCTGATCAAAGAGGCCGCTTTTTATGCATTTGCATGAATCTGCTTGCGACATGATACCTTGCGCTGACGATGTTGGTCAGATGAGCAATCCGGCGTCGTCTTCCGACGGTGGAATCGACTTTGGAACATCTTCACCAAACACTTTCGCTCCAGATGCAAGTAGACACAACAGAAAAAGATGGCCGTCTTAACTTTTACTCACTCCTTGTGCCTCATTCTGCCATCATAACCACACATTTCAATGGAAGATATTCAAGACCAAGATGATGTGGTCTCTGGTATGGTATCAGTCTCCTTTCGATTGATACAAGTTGGTTGACCTTGTTCTCGCAACTTGGTCTTGTTGTCAGGGCGACTCTCTTAGCCACACACTTTCACGCGAAATGGAAGTAAGCACAACAATCATGAAAGAATAAACTTTTCTTGGTTTCGTGCTTTCCGCTGATTGTTGGCTCTGAACACGCTCCCTGACAACAAGATCAGGTTGCGAGAACGAGGTCAACCAATTTGTATCAATCGAAAGGAGACTGATACCATACCAGAGGTCACATCATCTTGGTCTTCATATCTTCAATTG